TCGTGCCGACACTCATCTCGAAGATTAACACCGGTTTCCAGTTCTCGTTAGTGGCGGTCACTCTGGCGGCGCCCGTCTTCTCCTATACAGACCACTGGGCGCTGACATGCCTTCAGTTGGCCACCGGTGCCACTACTCTCGGCTCTGGCCTTAACTATCTGAAGCGTTTGCGACCGTCGGCCCAATGATTGGCCCAAATTATTGTTATCGTGTTTTAAATACAAATTGTGAATAAATTTATTAAATATTTTATTAGTATTTTATTATGAATTACGATTTGAATTACAATTAAGACTATATTTTATAGTAAATCATTGATTAGTTACTAAATATTGTGTGAAATGTTACTTAAATGTAAACAATTTTTACGATAATTAAAGATTATATTAAAATATCAACCTGACCACCATTTATAAAGTACTTGATGATCATTAAATAAATTAATAAAATTTATTTATATTGTATTATAATTAAACGTTTAGCCCTTCAGGCAATTAATTTAAAAATACCGCTATTTCTGGTCTTCATTTGTTATTTAAAGTTTATTTTTAAAATGTTTTTAATTTTTATAATTTATTAACATTTACTTAATATAAAGACGCGAATCATTCAAACAGGGTTTAAGGAATTCTTGTCCATAAGTACGGATCCATTTGGTGGCAATCCATTTGTCGCCGACCAGTACTGGACACCCGCTATGAAGTGTCAACGGATCGGTGTCTCCCGAGTCGTATAGATTATGCCAGAAAAGTGCCGCAGACTTCTCGGGCAAAACGGTTACATTCAAGAGGGGGAAGACAGTGGCGCCGCCGGCCTCCACATCGGCCAAGTAGTTGATCCACGTGACCATCAGTTGGGATCCGTTACTCTCCCGATAGGCGTTGGACGAGTCGTAATGATAGTCATAATAACCGCCGACACTGTATTTGACAACATTGTATGGTTCGGCATAACTGGTGTTGAGGCCAGTGATGGCACCGATACGTCGGCTCACAGTTTGCAGCACCCGATCAGACCTATCGTACAACCAATTGCCGTTTGCCACCCGTATATTGAGTCCCTCTTTATCTGAATCCGATTTATTTGATTCATTATTTTTTACTACTTTTAGCCGACGAAGCGATGGTTTGGTCATTGATATCATGGTTTTTGTTTCGTTTTCTGACATGAAGTCATGGATTACAAGGATTTGCGGTCTTTTATACATCTCTTCCACTTTAATACGAGTTAACCGTAAAAATGGGATTTCAGTCGTGTTTAGAAAATAACAGTTTAATTGCGAAACAATTGAATCGTTTAAAAGTTTTTCTCCTCTACACAACTGATCCCCGTTTTCACTCAATCCGTAAATTGGATTCAATTTAGTCTCGGATTTGAGCTAAAAATATTCATGACTTTAATTGTTATAAATTTATATAAATAATGTCTCAAAACCTGTTGTTTCACAGATTCTAAGTCCGGATTAATAGCCATTGAAATTCTCAAATATTTTTGGGCTTCACTTGAATTTCTCATTTTTTGCTCAGAAGAGGACAGGTATTTGAAAATTTCTACAATTGTCTCATCGGTGGTCTTGTTATCAATTTTAGTGATCCCTTCAGTTAACCATATCATTGCCTTCGAGTACTCCATGTTTTCAAACGTTAATTTTCCGATTAAATAACAATCGAAAGCATTTAGTGTTTGATTTTGTAGACCAATAGATTTGATGACCACTTCATCTCCGGATCCGTTATTATATTTAATAAAACCATTTATTAATGATTTGATATCCAATCCGTATGTATTCACGAGACTTATCAACCCATACGCAGAGTCTGTAAATTGGATTAACATTAATATAGATTTAGTAAAATGTAAATTAAATGCATTTAATCACTGATCATATCTTTGTTAGTTATCTTATCGTCAAATCGTGTCATTATTTCGGACGTGTTTTTCAAAGTTGTGTTTCGATTACAATCGACGCCAAAGAGATTGCGTTGAATATCAAACAAAGGTTTGTCTTTCTTTCCCAATAAATGCTTCACTTCTTGCCATTCAATGGCTATTCTTCTGGTGAGAAGATAGACATTGATTGGATGTCTTAGAAGTGATTCCTTGTCTTCATTCAAAGTAATTGACTTTAATTCAGAAAAACTATTTAATAATCCTTTTAATCGAGAATTGATGGCCTCTTCTGTGTCTAAATATTCACTCAATGTCTCAATCATTATAGAAGTGATTCCTTGTCTTCATTCAAAGTAATTGACTTTAATTCAGAAAAACTATTTAATAATCCTTTTAATCGAGAATTGATGGCCTCTTCTGTGTCTAAATATTCACTCAATGTCTCAATCATTGACTTCTCTTCAGTCAAGAAATGAGACAATTTTGCGAAATCAATGTTAAAACTATTCACACATGAATTAAAACAAATGATATGTAAAATATAAATTACAATTCGAAAGTATTTCATTATTTACACGGAAATAATATTAGACCTTAATCAATTAAACAATTCCACCACTTTTATTTCATATACAAAATAATTTACTTATTAATTTGATTAAATTATGTACAAAAGTATTTAACAGATAACACTACTATTTTATATTAATTTTTTATATAACAAAAAACAAACACATTTCGATAAAACATGTTTTATATAATTTATAAATGTTTAAATTTTTAGCATATTTAAACTTCAAATTGTTTGTGATTATACGATGACATGTATTATCTCTTTTAACAAACAACTCGTGTCATGTATTTTCATTTCTTTTATTAATTGATATAACAATTAAACATTTACTTAATATAAAGATACGATTTATTCAAACAGGGTTTAAGAAACTCTTGTCCATAAGTACGGATCCATTTGGTGGCAATCCATTTGTCGCCGACCAGTACTGGACATTCGCTATGAAGTGTCAACCGATCGGTGTCTCCCGAGTCGTATAGATTATGCCAGAAAAGTGCCGCAGACTTCTCGGGCAAAACGGTTACATTCAAGAGGGGGAATACAGTGGCGCCGCCGGCCTCCACATCGGCCAAGTAGTTAATCCAAGTGCCGATCCGTTGGGATCCGTTACTCTCCCGATAGGCGTTGGACGAGTCGTAATGATAGTCATAATAACCGCCGACACTATATTTGATAACATTATATGCTTCGGCATAAGTTGTGTTGAGGCCAGTGATGGCACCGATACGTCGGCTTACAGTTTGCAACACCGGGTGATACTTATCGTACAACCAATTGCCGTTCGCTACCCTAATATTGAATCCCACTTCATCTGAATCTGATTCATTATTTTTTACTACTTTTAGCCGACGAAGCGATGGTTTGGTCATTGATATCATGGTTTGTGTTTCGTTGTCTGACATGAAATCATGGATTACAAGAATTTGCGGTCTTTTATACATCTCTTCCACTTTAATACGAGTTAACCGTAAAAATGGGATTTCAGTCGTGTTTAGGAAATAACAGTTTAATTGTGAGACAATTGAATCGTTTAAAAGTTTTTCTCCTCTACACAACTGATCCCCGTTTTCACTCAATCCGTAAATTGGATTCAATTTAATTTCGGATTTGATCTAAAAATATTCATTACTTTAATTATTATAAATTTTATATAAATAATGTCTCAAAACCTGTTGTTTCACAGATTCAATGTCCGGTTTAATAGCCATTGAAATTCTCAAATATCTTTGGGCTTCACTTGAAATTCCTATTTCTTGTTCACAAGAGGACAAGTATTTGAATGTCTCTGCAATTGTCTCATCGGTGGTCTTGTTATCAATTTTAGTGATGGCTTGAGTTAACCATATCATTGCATTCGAGTACTCCATGTTTTCAAACGTTAGTTTTCCCATTAAATAACAATCGAAAGCATTTAGTGATTGGTTTTGTAAACCAATGGATTTGATGACCACTTCATCTCCGGATCCGTTATCATATTTGATAAAACCATTTATTAATGATTTGATATCCAATCCGTATGTATTCACGAGACTTATCAACCCATACGCAGAGTCTGTAAATTGGATTAACATTAATATAGATTTAGTAAAATGTAAATTAAATGCAT